CCCCAAAACCCCAAAACCCCAATTGCCAGCAAATTCTCATTCTTTGAATTAATAACTTTTTTTTGAAAATAAAATAAAAATACTCTTTGCTATTATTAACTTAAAAATATTAATTTAGTTATATAGATAATGCTCGATAGAAGTAAAATGTCTAATTCGTTTGCAAAATCTTCATTTTTGCAAACCTTGAATTCCTCTCCATCACAGAAGTGGCTAGTACAATAGAACTCAAAGAGTTAAAAATTCCTCTAACCATTGTCCAGCTCGATCACTGAGAAATCAAAAAAACTAGGAAATGAATAAGGAGCAAACAATGAAATTATGTTAAAGGAGTTGGTTCAAACTAATTCATTTGACCCTACATAAACTCTGTCCTAGTTCTACTCTACTACATACTTCAGTCCTACAAGAACTTTATCAAAGTTACCCATAAAACCAGAGGATAGACTAAAGAAAATTAAGAGTATCTCCACTCTAAAGCAACATGAGCTGGAATCGACGTACCATGAGGTATCTTTGCCAGTTTTAAGATAGATTAAAAATATGAAAAGAAACTGGGGGAATGAGAGGACTATGCCAGAGTATGAGATTCAAAAAGGAGATCTAGTTTATAGATCTATGATGGAATCATGCATGATGCTTGATAACAATAAAAAAATATAAAAGGACGTTGAGTTTGAGATGAATGGAAATTATAAGGGTAAACTAGATTCATTCATTAAAGAGTCAAAGTCCGGGATCTGGCTTAAACAAAAAATGCCAAAGATTAAGCAAAACCCTAGCATTTAGTATAGAAAGCCACTAAAAGAAGAAGAATAGGACAAGAAAAAATAAAAGCATTAAACTCTAGATAGTCAAACAAGCTCTAAGTTTACCTCTAAATTAAATCTCCAATTATAAAATGCTTTAAATGATGGATCCATCCCATCTAATGGAGAAACTAAAAGAGATGGCTTAAATGATGAAAGCTCCTTAGAAAGAGACCTAGGAGCAGTAATAGATAAGGTTTAAGAAGCAGCTTAGGTACAGAAAGTAAAAAAAGAGAGACACGTTCCAAATGAACTTGGAAATCCTGCAGCCGGTAAGATTGATCTTAAAACATTAGAGAATTACAAGTGTCACTGGACTATTAAAGAGAGTGTTAATTGGAAACCTTGTGTGAGAATAGGAGCATCCCTTGTCAATTGCGGAAATGTCATAATGATGTTTGGAGGATATAACAAAATAGCTCTTTAAGATCTTCAATATATAGATTTCAAAAAAGCTTAATGGAATCTGATTGAAGTGACTAAAGGAAAGAGACCTATTGAAAGATTCGGACATTCAGTTGTATTTTACAAGGGTAATATGATTATTTTTGGAGGAGAGCAAAAATACAATGCAGAAATTAGAATGAGAGAGACGTTTAATGATCTTTGGGCTTACAACGTAGTCCTGAATGAATTTAAAGTAATCAATGCACAGAATAGATTAGCTTGTGAAGCCAGAAAAGATCACTCAATGGTTCAAGTAGGTATACATTTGCTTGTTTATGGCGGTATAAACAGCAGAGGGATCCTGATTGATGACCCTATGGTTTATAGCTTTTGTATTATTTTCTTATATTTATCATTTTAGAAACGAATGAATGGATGCCATTGTAAATCAAAGGGCCATCCCCAGGTCCTTTAGCTTTTCATCAAGCTTGTGCAGTTTACAAAAAAGATAGGAAGGGAACAGTAGGGTTCAGTCTTTTTAGAATGGGCGAAATAATTGCTCCTCAAATAGAGTCTAAAGTAAGACTAGGAATATTATTAATATTTTAGATAAAAACAGAAGGAATTTACTTCTTCGGAGGGAAAAGCACAAATGGCTTTCCTTAAAATTAGCTGAGAATTTTGAAGACTGGCAGAGTTCCACTAGAATGGAAAGAAGTGAAATCAGTTTCAAAAGATCCACCTCCTAGGTACAATCATACATTGAATTTCTCAGAGGACTAAAATTTGCTCGTGTTATTTGGAGGAAGATGCGATTTTGCAGCTAAGATGACAAATTATTAATAGATACTGAATGATGTGTGGGTTCTTTACTTGGATAATTTGTGCTGGTATGAAGTATAATGCAGTGGATCAGTACCAAGAGAAAGATTCTGCCATTGCGCTACTATAGTTGGAACTTAGCTTTTGATTTTTGGAGGTTTGAACAGTGATAACTTCTTATGCTCTGAGATTTATTGTTTGGAATTAGACCCATATCATTCAAAAAGGATGAGAGCTGATTTTAATAGGAAGAAGACTACTAATAATGGCTAGTTTAATATTGATTACGGCAGCTTTAAAGCCGGAGGGTTAAGCGAAAACCAAGAATATTGATTATTTTTTATTTTGATAACGACCTTTGATTTTATGAATTTTAGATTAAGGGGTTTTGGGGTTTTGGGGTTTTGGGG